TAGCCCCCCCCCCCCCCTCCCCGCGTGCAAACATGCTGCCCAACCTGCTCCAAGCCAGTACGAGTGATCGAGCAAAGACTGCGTAACCCTTCAAGAAGCCCCAAAGCTGAAGAAGCAAGCAACTTGGTCACATGGAATTCGACTAGCAAGCGGCCCTGAACGCCCGTACGGACATGCTGACGTTTCGAGTTGGTGGGTTCAAGGCCTCGGAACTGGACTGGAGGCTGAAGCCGCTTGACGCTGTGGACAGTCTGGGTGGCCGGACCCAGCGGCGGGATGTTGGAAAGGGGCAAACCGCAACGGACCTGGGCTCCGTGATGCTTGAAGTTGGTGGACAGAGGATTTTGATGGTCGATGCGGAGATGCCACACCCAAGTCAAACCCAAGTCCTTGTCGCTTGATTGCATGACGGTGGTATGTTTACGAAGTGCTATTGTCGAGGCGGAAGCTCTTCGCAACAGTGTCTGCAGCTTCACCAACAGGCGCGCTTAGCATACCATCAGAGCTGCCGGCGCGTCAAGGGGCGTGTCTTTGACGCCCTGCACGCCGAGGCATGTGATCAACATACCCTCCCTGTGAAGGACGAAGGGCACGACACACTGTGAACGACAGGAAGGGAGACAGGGGGGGAGAGAGGTGCAAGGAGATACACAGCCAAACCCCAAGAAGACAAAGAGACAGACACAGACACAGACAGACAGACTCACACAGACACACACAAGAGCAAACCCTAAAACAGGAGGAATAAGACACATACTGCATGTACTCTCTGCATACGTATCCACGTACCTACTAGCTTCCGTACTTACCTCCGCGTGCATACACGCGCTCTCACCTACTTTACTTTCGCAGACATACATGCTTCATTACGGATAAGTATATATTGCTCTGCAGCAAATCCATCCCGGCCAGCCCTTGGTCAGCAGCGGAATGACCGGGCAACAGAAGCCATGACTTCATGCTCCAAGCACCAGCTCGCGAAAGCTCAGTGACTGCAGCGATCATGACCGATGGGGACACCATCCGAACCTTTCGAAATGCAATCCCGACTCAGAGCACCCAAGGCCAGCTCGAGAGCACAGCCTTGCACATATCCGAAATGTGACTCTTACAAGTCTTGCTGGCCTGCAAAGGACGATGCCTGAGATGGCTCAGCGAGTGATGCAAACGTTACCTCTCAAGGACTAAAATCCACTGGCTTGCTAGATTTAGATCTGGAAGACACTGCACAAAAAGCCGTCCAGGGCCCTGCGTCTCCTTGACCCCAAACGTCCCCAAACCCCAGATCCTAAGAGACCTGGAGGAGCAATCAACTCCGCAAGAATAATCTTAGCCCCGCAAGCTCGGTTGGCCAAGCAGCCGTGGTGGGACTGGCGCTTCCCAGTGCGGGGCATCCTGGCCCGAATTGCCAATCCGTGTAGGGGGCCACAGACAGCCATGGAATCCTAAACAAATATAGTCGCATTTGGGTGTTTCTTTATGCTATAAAGTACATTTGTTTGACTTCTACGTATGACGCCACGATCTTTAGTGGAGGCCGCAAGTTGACTGCTGCTTCCAGCCCCAGACGGCAGCCTGCTGGATACCACTTACACTTGAGGCCGGATTCCGCAAGAAAGTCTTCGAGTTTTTGTACCAGTAACAGAATCGAAACTCGGGCATTTTCTGGAGTCCTCTGGACCCAAGAGGGCTGCCAAGAAGCCCCGCGGCATCGCTCACAGAGGGGTGTGCTGTTTTGCGCTTGGTGCACCTGGAGTTCTCTGGTTTCAGAAGGTTGCAGCAGGTAAGCCCGGGGTGACTCTGCGAGCCAGCAAGAGTTGGTAAAAAGCTTCATCACGGTTAACATGGGCAGCGGATGAATCAGAGTCTTCCCATGAACGTCGCACGACAAGCCCTACAATGACTAGAGGCGGGGGGACTGTGAAGCTGGATTCAGGAGTTCAATGCAGTGCACACCTGCTGCTTCTGAGCCCATAAAACGTGGCATCAAACCGTATTTGCACCTGCTCTCCACTCTCCAAGACTCCGTGCTGAAGGATGATGCACGCAGCCTGTAGCATTTCCGAAAACCGCCAGAGTCCCTTCCCAGACAACGAACATCGTTCTGAGAAGTTCCCTGAAACGGCCCAAGCAGAGTGTCCCGGAAGCACCCCTGGAGCGCATCAGTTCCACGTGAAAAGCAGACGGGATCGCACGGTGCGACGACCCTCCGAAACAACCGAAAAACAGGTATCCGAGTATGCGGAGGCAATGTAAGCTTGTGGTTGCACCTTTGGTAGGACAGGCGACATGCATCGTCCGCTAGCTTGCTGGATGCAGCTACACCTTTGGCCTTTGGCTGACGGTTGGATGATAGATGTTCAAAATCTGCACAAGATTCGGCGCTACAGTGCGAGGCTGTATGATATGCAAACGAGGGATCAAAACTGTATACAACTGTGCACTGCCTCCCACAGCGAAATCTGGGCGCTAAAAAGGCTTGTGGCGAGAGAGCAATTCGGGTGATGACGTTCCTGAAATCCTCAACCCTACACTGGAAAGAGACCTCTTATTCAGGAACCTAACTGATGACCGACCAAACTGCCAAAGCGCTGGTGTTTCTCTTCGACAATCGATCTGCGGATGCTGAGGTTGCCCCTTCTGCTTCCAAGGCAATTGGCAGTCGACTAGTAACAACAAACGTCTGAAACTTGTACCTAGAACCGATTGACCGAATCCCGCCACCTGGACTAAGCCCGATCTTCACGAGTTTCTGATTTTCAGGTAGAACAACTCCTGCTCCACCTACTTAGCCATCGCCAAGTCCGCTCGAAATTGCTTCGGGAAGTCCTTGGTGGCAATCGTTGGACAGAACATGCCTCGATCATGTTGACACGATACGAAGAAGTGGGCTAACGGATGTGACCTTGTCAACAAACCTGCACTTCCACCATCGCTGAGTTTGCTCGGTGAGAGAGCAACTACAAAGTAAGAACGCTTTGGTCGCGAGTCGGTCTGCACGGCAACGACGCCAGGATATGAGCTGCAGGTGGCCACATCCCTTGCCGTATTGGCGATGAAGAGCACGGTGGGGACCTCTCTCTGACGGGTTCGGAGCGCCCAACTCACAACTAAAGCATGCAAGTTGAATGCACATCCAGCCGAAGAACTGACAGCAATTAAACTGATCCAACTCGACCCCATCCCTGAGCTTCTCAACCGCATGAGGATGGACTCAGAGAATTACGTGCCAACCATAGTCGTCGCGTCGATAGTTTAGGAGATGGAGGAAGCCTGTAAGGTTTGGGATTTTAGTAGGGTCAAGCATGTGAACCCTAACCCCTAAAAGCCCCTTGTTGCTCCTTGTGAGACCCTCCACCGACAAACAACCAGCTTCCTCATGTGCTGTCTCGGCTGCACCGCACCTTGTGGCGTTCCGAGAGAAAGCCAAACAGCCGCGGCGTGTCAGTAAAGGCCTTGACGGGCAGCAAAAGCACAAACAAGACCGCATCGCTAGGACCTTGAGCGGCAGCTTAAAGTTAAAGCCCAGAGCCCCTGCACCTCGGCATCTCGCAACAGCCTGCCCCAAAGGATTCTAGGTGCCTCATAAACTCTCACGGTTGAAGGGTTGCGGTGTGTGGATTAGTGACAGTATGCTCGTCGCGATAGCCAGACGGGGCAGCCAGGGCGACAAAGGCCTTGAGCAGTCGCAGCAGCAGGCGAATCAGGCCAGCACGAATCGGCGACTGCTCTGGGTCGACTTTGGCAAGCTTGAAGATCGCGTGAGGCAGGGCCTGTCCAATCGCAGCTTGGCGGTTTGGGGACTTAAGGGGTTTTGGGTTCTGGTGACCAAGAGGTGATATCAGACCCTGACACTAGTCACCCCGGATTTGTAGAACGCAAGCAGCGCATTGAAGCCAAACAGGAATCGATTTCCCGAGTCGCCCCTTAAGGGGCACTTTTGTACGCAAGAAGCACAGCCTCCGAAACGTGAAGCACGTTGAAGACGACCCTGGGCTCGCTCTCGGAAAAGAATGGCAGCAACCGCCTTGTCGGATAGCCGCATCCTCGGCGACAGAGGCTCTAGACCGACCCGGACCAAGGCTTCCACTCAGTCTCCTGCGGCCTGGCAGCGCAGCAGTCCCAGATTCCAATAGAACCAGACCAGGAAGGATTGCTTGAAGGTAACCTAGCTTCCCCAAGACTCAACGAAGCTTGAGCCTGTTTGCTCTTGCTAAAGCACATCTCAAAGCACTGTATTCGAGACGTAAGTAGCGATGACCGGGATCTCCGGGCATGCCTTCCGGCACCACTGCCTGAGTCTGCTAAAGGACAATCCTGACTTCAAGTCTGGTTTCCATGGTGGTTCGTCGTTCAGGACTTTGCATCCGGCCGGGCCGTGAGAAATGAAGTGGGGCTAGGGGTTTATTGTATTGTTAACCACAAAACTGTAATGACACAAGCGTAAGAGGACAATAGTACCGCAGTTTGCTCAGACCCCCAAGGGGTTCATGACCTAAGCTTTACACGGGGGTTAAGATTTAAAGATGCAGCAGAAAGCTAACGACTGTCCGAACCCAGAAACCTAAATCCTGACACCGGAAAGTGTCAGTTAACTATCCCCATACTCTCGAGTATCACGAGAAAGCTCACATAAAGAAAACCTTGTGACTCTCGAGAGACCAGGTTGCTGTATCGCGGCGAGTTCCGGAGAGCCCCACGCGGCCACACGGTTTTGCAGCCCGAATTCCCGAAGCACCTCCAAAGCTTCCTCGGCGCCGGCGAAACTGCTGATATGGACACAATCCTGCTTTATCAACAATCATTATAAGGTAGGTTTACAGCTCAGATCAGTTATCCAGACCCAAACCGAGGAAAC